GGTTCCAGAGGCAGGCGACAGATTCTATGAGCAGCCCGGGGGGGCCATCGGGCATCGATGGCATACCACTGGGGTTTCTTACATCATGCCGGCCGGCAAGTGGCCCAATGCTGAAATGAAATATGCGGTGCAGTAGCGGATCAACGAGTTCGAACATGTTAATCCTGGGCGTGCAGGGCCCACTGAGACTACTGAAACCGTTCCCCCGCCGCCCCAAGATGTGATGCACTGCGCGACTGCTGGGGGCGCTGGGGTCGTGCTCTGTAGGAGCGTTTTTGATTCTCAACCGCCCGTCGAGCCCGCGCAACCGAATCCATATTGAGATCGATGACAGGCCTTGTTTTATTGTCTCAGAAACGTTTAGGCACCGCGGTGGCAGTCGGATTACGACAATGCTTTTGTCTCCGTTTAGTAAAACGTTTTTCTTTTGTTTGCATTATCCCGGCAAAGCAACCTGACAGCGATGTGTAGGAGCATACCTGGAAGCATTCCCCTTCAGATTCAGATGAGAATCCAGTTGTAGAGTTCTGCTGTTCTCGCAGTCGTAGTCGCATTCGCGATGGCAGTCGCAGCCTCAGCCTCAGCCTGCCTCGGCCTCAGCCTGCGTCAGCCTCAGCCTCAGCCTGCGTCAGCCTCAGCCTCAGCCGGCTTCAGCCTCAGCATCAGTTTGCCTTCAGCCTCGGCCTCAGCCTCAGCCTGCCTCAGCCTCACCGTGCATCAGCCTCAGCCTGAGCCTCAGCCTGCCTCTGCCTCAGCCTCAGCCTGCTTCAGCCTCAGCCTCAGTCTGCCGTCGGCCTCGGCCTCAGCCCCAGGCTGCCTCAGCCTCAGCCTGCATCAGCCTCAGCCTCAGCCTCAGCCTGCCTCAGCATCAGCCCGTTCAGCCTCAGCCTCAGCCTCATCCTGCCTCAGCCTCAGCCTCAGCCTGCTTCAGCCTCAGCCTCAGTCTGCCTGCAACCTCGGCCTCAGCCTCAGCCTGCCTCAGCCTGAGCCTGCCTCAGCCTCAGCCTCAGCCTCAGCCTGCCTCAGCCTCAGCCTGCCTCAGCCTCAGCCTCAGCCTGCCTCAGCGTCAGCCTCAGCCTGCTTCAGCCTCAGCCTCAGCCTGCCTTCAGCCTCGGCCCCAGCCTCAGCCTGCCTTCAGCCTCAGCCTCAGCCTCAGCCTCAGCCTTCAGCCTCAGCCTCAGCCTCAGCCTGCCTCAGCATCAGCCCGGCCTCAGCCTCAGCCTCAGCCTCAGCCATCAGCCTCAGCCTGCCTCAGCCTCAGCCTCAGCCTCAGCTTCAGCCTTCAGCCTCAGCCTCAGCCTCAGCCTGCAGCCTCAGCCTCCTCAGCCTCAGCCTCAGCCTCAGCCTCAGCCTCAGCCCTTCAGCCTTCAGCCTCAGCCTGCCTCAGCCTCAGCCTCAGCCTCAGCCTCAGCCTGCCTCAGCCTCAGCCTCCTCAGCCTCAGCCTCAGCCTGCCTTCAGCCTCAGCCTGAGCCTGCCTCAGCCTCGGCCCCAGCCTCAGCCTGCCTCAGCCTCCGCCTGCATCAGCCTCGGCCTCAGCGTCAGCCTGCCTCAGCACCAGCCTGCCTCAGCCTCAGCCTCAGCCTGCCTCAGCCTCAGCTTCAGCCTGCTTCAGCCTCAGCCTCAGCCTGCCTTCAGCCTCGGCATCAGCTCTAGCCTGCCTCAGCCTCAGCCTGCATCAGCCTCAGCCTCAGCCTGCCTCAGCATCAGCCTCAGCCTGCTTCAGTATCAGCCTGACTCAGCCTCAGCCTCAGCCTGCCTCAGCCTCAGCCTCAGCCTGCTTCAGCCTCAGCCTGAGCCTGCCTCAGCCTCGGCCCCAGCCTCAGCCTGCCTCAGCCTCCGCCTGCATCAGCCTCGGCCTCAGCGTCAGCCTGCCTCAGCACCAGCCTGCCTCAGCCTCAGCCTCAGCCTGCCTCAGCCTCAGCCTCAGCCTCAGCCTCAGCCTGCTTCAGCCTCAGCCTCAGTCTGCCTTCAGCCTCGGCCTCGGCCTCAGCCTGCCTCAGCTTCAGCCTGCATCGGCCTCAGCCTCAGCCTCAGCCTGCCTCAGCCTGCCTCAGCCTCAGCCTCAGCCTGCCTCAGCCTCAGCCTCAGCCGGCTTCAGCCTCAGCCTCAGTCTGCCTTCAGCCTCGGCCTCAGCCTCAGCCTGCCTCAGCCGCAGCCTGCCTCAGCCTCAGCCTCAGCCTGCCTCAACATTGCCTGAGCCTCAGCCTCAGCCTGCCTCAGCCTGAGCCTCAGCCTCAGCCTGCCTCAGCCTCAGCCTCAGCCGGCTTCAGCCTCAGCCTCAGTCTGCCTTCAGCCTCGGCCTCAGCCTCAGCCTGCCTCAGCCGCAGCCTGCCTCAGCCTCAGCCTCAGCCTGCCTCAACATTGAAAATGTGGCCCGGGAACTGACTTCTGGGAACTCGAAGAACACGAAGTGGCCTACAGCTGGCTCCGGGCATTCAAAATCATGCCCAGGAGCGGAGTTCTGGGAACTCGAAGTCTACGAAGTGGCCTGAAGTTGGCCCCGGGCATTCAAAATGTGGCCCGGGAATGGAGTTCCGGGAACTCGAAGAGCACGAAATGGCGTACAGTTGGCCCCGGGCATTCAAAATGTGGCCGGGGAATGGAGTTCTGGGAACTCGAAGACCACGAAGTGGCTTACAGTTGGCTCGGGGCACTGAAAATCATGCCCAGGAATGGAGTTCTGTGGCCTCGAAGACCACGAAGTGTATAACTGTTTGCTTAAAACGACTTCCGCGGATTCTCCCCGGCACCCGTCCGGCATCTGCCCAGACCCCCCTGAGGAGTCAAGATGTTTTCTTTTGAGACCATTAGAAACCTATCAGTCTTCGCTGTTAGGTAATAGAAGCGATGTAACTGCCAGATAATGCACGCGCTGCTCTGGCAAAGCTCCAAGCTAATACCCCGCCACAAGACCCGCGACCGTCCCAGACCCCCAGGTGCTCACAATACAAATATCATTGATACTCGTAAAACAACCCATTCTCCATATGGTTCTCTGCGTGGCTTTGGACGTTGTCGATCCATCTAGATTTCGGGCGTCCCAGCCTCCGGCTTGCGTGATCTGCCGGGTCGTGTTGCGGCGTCCACTGGGTCACCTGTCTTATCCGTTACTGTTCGCTTGAGGTGCTGAATCTTTGAACCCATTTCCATGTCCGTAACCGCTCAATTGCAGCCTCTGCGTCGTGAGTAGCACGTCTGATCCATTGTACCCATGGCTCCACCGATTCGGGCGTTGTTTCGTCGCCGTGCGTCGTCCGTGTTGTCGTCGTCGTGCTGGTGGTTGCTGTCCTGCAGGTTGTCGGTATTGGTCTGGGTCGGATTCGGCCGCGGCTGTTTGCAGTTGCTGTGGTGCGTCTCGGTGCTCGTACGATCATACGAAGCATCTGCCATTGCGTTCTGTGCCATTCCGCGCAACTGCCGTACCCCGGTCGCAGCGGCGGCATTCTGCGGCGCCGAACTCTTGGCCAGCTTCGCATCTGGCTGGAAGGCAGCGGCGGTGCGCCTGAATGCTGCGCAATGTGACAATTGCTGTTGGGCTTGGGGGTGCATGTATCCCTGGGTGTGGGAGGGCACGCGCGGGCGCTGGCAGAAACGCGGGTGCTCGCGCGTTGGGGGGCCAAGTTGTTGTTGCAGTGTTTTGCCCTGGCTCGTGCGCGACTGCTGGAGCTCCCTGCAAGTAACCTGGTCATGCCAGCGGAGGCTGATTCCCAGGTGGTCACGCGTGCTACGTGTTTCGAGCACGCGGTGAAGGTGACAGCGCACCTGCCACTGCGTGCCAATTTTCCAACGAGTTTGCTGAGCGAGACTAGAGGCCTCCTAGATGGAATCGGAGCAGATGTGGTCGGAGGATCGCGCCGCATCGCCGATGCATCGGCGATGTGTCGGCGATGCGCCGGCGACGTCGGTGATGCACCAGCGACGCCAGCGTGAAGAAAATCGGGCTCCGCATCGAGCCGCATCGCCAATGCATCGGCGATGCGGCGCAATCCTCCGACTCCATCTACTTCGACCACATTTGGGAAGCCTAGAGAGGCTCAGCGTTCCTCCCCGCAGGCGCGGAAGCTGGCGGTAAAACAATGGAAACATCGGGCCCTGGTTCCAGCAGTGCGTGCGCAGGAGCAGGCACGGCTCTGGCTCCAGCTGGCAACCCTCAACGAGAAGAGCCTGATATCGCATCGCAAGTTGCCGCCGGTGCGGCCGCCGCTTGCTCTGGGGCTTCGCTGGGCGACGCGGGGGGTGAGCATGCGGAGGTGCTTTCGTGCCTGGTCAGTCGCTTAAGTGACGGCGCGCATGCCTGCAGAGGTGTGGACAGAGCACGGGCGCCATGACAGCCCTTTGTGCCTGGTGTGCGGCGACATGCTGGGCGCACCCCCGCGGTGCCTGGCCCACGTCTCGGCCATCTGCTCGGCGAGGGCATGGAGCTGTACGGACTGCGCGGCACGTGCAAGGGCCCGTGGGGGCCAGCTGGTTGCTGCCGTGTGCTTGAGGACGCAATGGACCTGTGCAAGTTGGCTGAAAAGTGCTGGTCTGTGGGCCTAGTGGCGCGGGCGTGGGCACAGTGGCGTAGTACGACCAGGGGCATGCAACTATCGGCGCGCGTGCGAGCTTGGCCTGAGGCAGGGGTTCTCGCAAGGACTCCTCCCGCCCACCAGTCGCGATGGGCGGAATGCCCACAGGCGGAGGCGCACGTGACGTTGGTTGCTGCGGCCTGATGGCCAAAGTTGGCAACCATAGAGCAGACAGCCTCCTCATTTCCCTCCTCACCTGCGCTGCCTCCTCCTCATAAATTTCCTCTTGCTACTTACTCTTTCTCAGCAGCGCCACTTCCTCCTTCATCTCCACCTCTGCCTCTCGTCTACCCTTTTGTTGCTTTCTTCTCCTGATCATACTTCACCTCTTGTCCCTTCTCGTCCCATTCCGCCTCCCCCGCTCTACTCGTCCCTGTTCTCGTCCCTTCTTCCCTCAGCTCCTTCGAGGTGTAGTGGCCCAGCTGACGGCGCTAAGGCGTGGCCTGGCGTGAGTGGACCGGGCTCTCGCTCTCAGTCTCTCCCCTCCTTTCATAACTCTCTCCCTCTCTGTCTCTACATCTCTCTCTATACATATATATATATATATATATATATATATATATATATATATCCGCCCGCCCCCATGTGGGGCCACCAGGCTGTAGGCCGAAGGTTTGCAGTTTCCTGTGCCAGTTTCAGCTTCCAGTTTCCACTGTTACAACTCTGCTTCTTGCTGCTTACTCTTCCTTGTTGATGGACCGCGCGAGGGGGGGGGCCCAAACGGGCAGGTTTAGCACGCCCTGAGCGTGTTGTCTGAATTGCTGGGGTGGGTAAAAACATGATCGACCCACGAACCCGGAAATGAATATAGAACTGTAACACATGGCAACATGTTCAAAGACACCTGAGTGGGTGACGGGCAAATGCAATGCTGAGCGTATCGATCTTGATGTACCCTGCCGAGGGCTGTGCTGTGCTGCACCGTGCTGAATTGCAATGTGCCATGCCGCGAATGTGCTCTATAGCGTCATGGATCGAGTCCTCCTTTGCATCCGAGTCCTGACTGAACTGATCTGGATCTTAAGCTCGAGCTGCCTGAACACATAGTAGCTGCCCCGGAGCTGATGGACAGGGGAGCATGTCAGGAGGACGCGCCGCGAAACGTCCCAAGGGATGCGCCAGGCGACGTGCCAGGGGACATGCCATGGGGTCGCACCGCGGGACGTGCCAAAGGGACGCGCTACGGAACGTGCCAATGGATGTGCCACGGGATGTGTCAGGGGACGCGCCACGCGACGTGCCAGGGAGACTCGCCAAGGGACGCGCCACGGAACGTGCCAAGGAACGTGCCAAGTTGCAATGCTGAGTTTATCGATCTTGATGTACCGTGCCGAAATATGTGCTGTGCTGCGCCGTGCTGAGTTGCGATGCGCCATGCCGCGATTGTGCTCTATAGCCTCGTGGATCGAGTCCTCCTTTGCATCCGAGTCCTGACCGAACTGATCTGGATCCTAAGCTCTAACTGCCTGAACACAGAGTAGCTGCCCCAGAGCTAATTGACAGGGGGACATGCCAGGAGGACGCGCCGCGGAACGTCTCAAGGGACGCGCCAAGCGACGTGCCAAGGGACGTGCCATGGGGACGCACCGCGGGACGTGCCAAGGGGACGCGCTACGAGCCCCTGGGGCCTCCTGGGGCCTCCTGGGGCCTCCTGGGCGCTCATGGGCTCTTTGGGGGCTGCTGGTGCCTCCTGGGGCCTCCTGGGGCCTCCTGGCGCTTCCTGGGGCCTCCTGGGGCTTCCTGGGACCTCCTGGGGCTTCCTGGGGCTTCCTGGGACCTCCTGGGGCCTCCTGGGGCTTCCTGGAGCCCTTCGAAAGGGCCGATCTGTAAGAATATATATATATATATATATATATATATATATATATATATATATATTAAAACGCATGATTCGTGCCCCTGGAGGGGGTCAATCTTGAGGCCCCTCGAGAAAGACAATCTATAAGAATATACATAAAAACACACGGAGTCGTGCCCCTGGAGAGGGCCAATCTATGCGAACACACGTAATCCTGGGAGGGCCAATCTGTAGGAATACATGTAAAAACATACGAATTCGTGCCCCTGGATGGGGGGGCAATCTATAGGTAATGAGAAGGCCAATATGTAGGAATATACGTAAAAACACGGATTCGTGCCCCTGGTGAGGGCCAATCTATGGGAACACACGTATTCCTGGGGAGGGCAAATCTATAGGAATATCATACAAACACCCGTATTCATGCCCCTGGAGAGTGCCAATCTACAAGCAATGAGAGGGCCCATCCATAGGAGCATACGGCAGGTTCGTGTCGTGCCGACCCAGGCGTTGGTTTTTGACACCGCAGGGATCGTTCAACCTTGAACGATCGGCCGCTGCCGCAACGTCCAAATCGTTGCAAATCGATCGATTCTGGGTCGCCGGCGGCGTTCAACCTTGAACGCCCGCGCTGGGGTCGCCGCTGGTCGACACGACGCAAACCTACCGTACGAAAAAACACACGGTCTCGTTCCCCTGGAGGGGTCAATCCTGAGAGCGATGAGAGGGCCCATCTATAGGAACATACGTAAAAACACACAGATGCGTGCCTCTGGATGGGGCCAATCTATAGGAACATACGAAATCCGTGCCCCTGACCAAAACGTGTCCCGCACCCTGGGATTCATCGATCGCGATTTCAAAAACAACCGTTTCGCTAGGGACATCCTGACATTTTAATTCGCCGGCCCTCTTCCCACTCGTCTCTTATCACAGAAGATATCAGCCGGCCCTCTTCCCGTCAAAACCAAGGGGAAAACTCTAAAAGAGTACCCTGGGCCTGAAGCCCTTTCCGGGAATTAACACTCCTCACGCAGATCGGCGGGGTCAGGGTCCGAAAACGTATGGGATTCGCCACATTTCTGAAATTCGGTTGCACCCCTCACGCAGATCGGCGGGGTCAGAGTCCAAAAACACATGGGATTGGCAACATTTCTGAAATTCGGTGGCACCCCTCACGCAGATCGGCGTGGTCGGGGTCCAAAAACATTTGGGACTTGCCACATTTCTGACATTCGGTGGCACCCCTCAAGCAGATCGGCGGAGTCAGGGTCCAAAAAACACATGGGATTGGCCACATGTCTGAAATTCGGTGGCACCTCTCACGCAGATCGGCGGGGTCAGGATCCAACAACACATGGGATTTGCAACACGTCTGAAATTCGATAACACCCCTCAGGCAGATTGGCGGGGTCAGGGTCTGAAAACCCATGGGATTTTCAACATTTCTGAAATTCGGTGGCACCCCTTTCGCGGACCGACAGCGTCAGGGTCCAAAAACACAAAGGATTTGCCACATGTTTTAAAGTTCGGTGGCACCCCTCACGCACTTCCGCGCGGTCAACACACAAGAGACCTCCAACATTTTCAAATTCGGGGAGAAGATTTGGGCACAGCATATGGGAGCAAATGAAAATACAACAGCGAGCACAACAATAGACTCGCAATCTCCATTCGTCTTGCCAATTACCCATCGTCTTCGCATGCAATTCCGACGCTGCTTCACGGTGAAGCCAAAGCCTCATGACTTCGCTCTTCCATGGCCCATTCTCCGAGAGAGGGGGCCGGCGGCAGGGGGCGAAGCCCTTACGGATATATATATATATATATATATATATACACACACATATATATGTATATATATATATATATATATATAAAAATGTTTGTTTGCCTCTCTCTCTCTCTCGCTCTCTCTCTCTCTCTCTCTTCATCTACGTCTGTCTGTCTGTCTGTCTGCCTGTCTCTATTTTCTCTCTCTCTCTCTATTTCCCTGTCTCTCTCTGTCTCTCTTTCTCGCTCGCCCTGCTTTCTCACTCTCTCTCTCTCGCCCTCCCTCTATGCCTCATGCGCCTTAGCGGTTTTGTGGGTTATCATATTACTTCCTCTTTCTCCCTACGTATGGATATACGTATGTAGCTACATCCCGCACATGCACATCGCTTGATGACTACACCACCCACTCAGACAATCGAGCACGCTCAACTTCCAGATAGCTTGGGCGCCAAGGCATAGCACGGACAAGGGGCCGTGCCATGATGAACCAAACCCGCGCCGTCTTGATGGCGTCTTAGGGTCATTGTAGGGCCTGTATGTGCGCTCTATGTCGTCTCCCAGGAACGTCGTGTCGGTACCCCAGCCGAAAACGTGAAGACGCCATAATTCGTGACACGAATAACTGCTGCCTGAAGGTACGGACTAGACTTGATTGTATGGAGGTCCAACTGGCGCATTCCAGTTGACCTCTTGGAAAAGAACAAACAAAGGGGGACTATTGAGGAGTGCAGGGGACATGCAGGAATAGTAGCGAAGAGAACGCGAGGAGAGGTGAAGGGAAAACCAATGATATGGATGGGGTGAGGAGGAGGATGATCATCATGAGGAGTAGTATACAACATGCCTCATGCGAGTCACCGCCGCTCCATGCCTTTGAAAAGAGCCTTTGCTGCCAATGCTCACTCGACTTTGGCTGAATTCTAAGCCGCCTCTTGGACCGTCTCTGGGTTGTCTTGGGTTTTTTTTTGGGGCTCTCTTGGACCTCCTTGGGATCTCTGGGGGTTCATGTTTAAGAGTCTCTGCGATACAAGAGCAACGAGCAATGGTACAAGCGTTACTTTTAGAGGTCCGCGCGGATTTCTTGGATCTTAGTTGGACCCTCTCCCTGTCGCGGAGCGCGCCAGGGGCGGCGCCGGAGGCGCCGCCAGGGGGGCCCCAGCGCAGATCCAAGAAATCCGCGCGGGGCTCCCAAAGTTTATGTTCATGCCGTTTTTCTTCTTCGAGAAGCGAGAGAAGGTATGAGGCTGAGTTTGGTCGGCTTCTGTGGCTTCGACCTTCTGGGCCCTTGGGGCAAAACTAGTCCCCCAAGCTTGTCAACGGGTATGATTGGCCAAACAAATTCGAAGCGAATCGAACCGTGGCCATGAGGAGCCTCGCGGAGACCTCCCGGATGTCGAAAACGTAACCGACAACCTTGTCCTCGAACGTTGAACGTCTTTCGCTGTGGACGGCTGACATGGGGGCACTGGAAAATGGGGGCGATGCACACATGTTGTCCTGAATCGACAGCGACCGCTACAAACAACGTCCGCATCGACACGGGCAACGGCTGCTGCGCCGAATGGGCACGAATGTTGTCGGGCATCGTCCCCATCGTTTCCGTGCCCATTCCGGGCGCGGCTAGACCGACCCCTTCCGTGAAAAGCTCCCTCCTTACCGACCCGCTCGCCCCTCTGGCTGCCCGCTGTTATCATGATCATGTAACCTGTCATCAATCAACTTCGACTTGTGGAATTGATTCGGGACGGACTGTGTGTCGGATCGGCCTGCATCGGCATCGGATTGTATCCGAACGCGCGTCGTTGTAGTGCATCTTTGCTGCGCCAGGATGCACAACAACGACGCGCAAGTATCGGGCCGCACCATATCGTCTGAAGATCGGAGTCGAATCAGATCGGGCCAGCCCGAATCGATCCCGCCTAGGCCTGCCTTGGGGCCTGCAGGAAGATGCTGAAGCTGCTGCGCACGCCGGAGCACAGCGGCGCGGCAGGAAAAGGCAAAAAAGGAGGAGGAGGAGGAGGAGGATGAGGACGAGGACGAGGACGAGGAGGAGGAGGAGGAGGAGGAGGAGGAGGAGGAGGAGGAGGAGGAGGATTGGCAAGGAGGGAGGACGTGCGAGGAGGGTGGAGGACAGCGAGGGAGGAGGAGAAGCAGAGAGGACAGAAGAGGGAGGAGGAGGCCTCCGAGGCGAACTGGCTCAGCAGCGCCCGCTGGGGCGTGGCCTGCACCGGGGTCGCGTGCCCCGACGTGGCCGGGCGAGAGCGGTCCGCGGAGTCGGCCATCTGGCGGGGAGGGGGGCGCACCCTGAGATCCTGGCGTTGCAATCTTTTCGCAACGGGCGTTGTCGCCCAAATTCGGGCCCGGGGATCCTCACAGATCGATCTGGCTCGTAAAATGGCGTAGAACAAAAAAACTCTAGCGATCTGGCCGTGTGTGTTATAGAGCGCCATCATTATGACGAAGTGGCGCCTGTCTTCACAGGAGTGCTGATTGCGCGTTGCACCGAGCTTGGCAGATGTACCTGCCACAACATTCCCCAGGATATGGGGTCTCTCTGGATCGTCCCCCATATTCTTCTCTTCCTCCTCCTCCTCCTCCTTCTCTCCATCCTGCTCCCGGGAAATCTCCCGAAGTCCCTACTTTGAAGCGTCTGGAGGTCTCCGAAGGCCTCGATCTCCGAAGCCCCCCCCTAAGAGCCCAACCGCAACAACAACCTCGATTCGAATGCAATCAGGCAGCCTCCTAGCCTCATGGGGTGAGGGGGAGGAGGAAGGAGGAGGAGGAGGAGGAGGAGGATGTGGAGGATGTGGAGGAGAAGGAGCAGGGGGGAGGGAGGAGGAGGAGGAGGAGAAGGAAGAGGAGGAAGGGGAGGAGGGATGATGATTTCTGCCGATGTTGATGCTGATGATGATGATGATGAGGAGGAGGAAGAGGAGGAGGGATGAGGAGGCCAGGAGGAGAGGAAGACTTTTGGAGTGCAGCGGGCTAGCGACTATAGCATGCCACATGTTCGAGCGGAAAAGGGCTCGCAGGCGTCCGCCTGCCAAAGTCGGCGCTGTGCAGGTGTGCCCGCCTCTCTTCCTCGGACCATCTTGACTACCGAGATCAGCGGTGCCAGCTGCTGGGAGGAGGCAAGGAGAGAAGAGGAACCGTATGAATGAGAGGAGAGAGGAAAGGAGCGCCTGCAAGAACACACCTATTCCTGCAGGTGCTCAGCCCGCTTGTGGTATTATTCCCTGCGAGGCATGTGAGCTGCCGAGGCCAGCAACGGTCCCTCCACAGGTGGGAAACGCAGCGGGCGGTTAGTCTCCAGGGGAAAGGAAGAGTGAGAAGCAACGAAGAGGGGGGAGAGGGCCCCCCCTGGGCGTGCCCAAATTCCCCAATCCAAAGGAGACTGGTGATGAACGATGGGCGAAGCCCCCTGTGACTTCGCACAGGGGAGGAGGCTGGATCAGGAAGCCTCATGCAAGATCACCTTGGGAGGACATCTGGCTCTGCTTTGTTAGAAAACTGGGATCCCCGTCGGGAGCACGTCTGTGCTGTGCATCTTAACCAGGTTACCTGACCCAGGCAGGATACACATCACAATGCCTGAGGGATGAGGGAGGAGGGAGGGAGGAGAAAAACGAGGAAGAGGAGGGAGGAGGAGCGGGGTGGGAGGAAGACCGATCCCCCAGAAGACCCCCTGTGGCTACGCTGGACTCGACCCTCGCCCTCGACGGCGACGACGAAGGCCGGCCGCGGCGTGGCACTCTCGGCGCGGCGAAGCTGCTGGATCCCTGTGCCTCGCTCCTCCGCGCGATTAGCCTTAAGTCGGGCGTGTCCCCCTACAGGGGGATTTTCGACGAAGGAAAAAAAACAACAAATATGCCCAAATGGTCAAACAATTCAAACAAAAACTCCAGACACTGTTTTTTAAAACAATGTTTGAATTTTCCTCCTGTAGAGGGACGGGCCCGACTGAAGCTTAGCCCCTGGAGCCCTTCTGGGGGCCCTCGGAGGGGAGCCACCAGCCTCGAGGGAACTACTCTGAATGGCAGCTCGGGATACGACTTCCCCCCGCAAGGAGCGCGCACACTCAATACGAAACCAGGGCGAGGATAACATCGGGTGAAGATGAATCGAGAGTCTCTGAGATCCGGGGGCTCTGGAAGATGTCTCGGGCGCCGCGGCCTTCCCAGAGCGTTCCGGAACGCTCTGGAGCGGAGTTGTCCTCGTCCTAGCCCCGTCTGGTGTTCTGAATGGCAGCTCGGGATACGAATCCCTTGGCCGGAAGCCCGCCCCAGGAGCCTTCAAGAAGGCCCACGCAACCCCGCCCCAATAAGACACCCAGATGCCGCACAGGGTCCCTCCTGTAGATCTTCGGGAGTCGAAGCGCATGTGGAGAGGTGGCCCTCGAGGAGAGCCACTGGCCTCGAGGCGAGCATCTTCAGGCTCAAGGCTCCAGCGCTGCCCACTCGATTAGGCTGTTGCCGAAACCCTCGATTCTCGAGAGGGGAACGCTGTGGGCCCTCCTGTCTCGAAATTTGCGCATCCTCTCCCTCATCATCATCACCATCATCATCTTCATCATCATTCTCATCTGCATCATAAGCATCACCATCATCCCCATTCACATCGTCATGATCGCCAGCATTCTCGTCAACAGTATCAGCATCATCGAGATCATCTGCATCGTGATCTCCATTTTCATCATCAGTATCAACATCATCACGTCTGCATCAGAATCAACATCATCATCATTATCATGCCCGGCGATGGTATTTCCGAGGCCAGGTCGGAGTATGTTAAACAGCAAGAGGCAGCACCGTGAACGACACTGGGGCTGGCAAGAGAGATAATTCATCAACCGAATTCGTGCTCTGGCAAACGGCCCCACGGCCACGGCGAAGCCTTGCAGCAGCAACAAGGCGGGAGGGTGGGAGCTCGAGAGCCGAAGGCTATTGACAAGAGACAACGCATTCTGCATTCGGCCTCGCCCTTCCCCTCTAGAGGCATTCGTCTTCAATAGAAAAGTCCATGCCCGACGATGGTATTTCCGAGGCCAGGTCGGAGTATGTTAGACAGCAAGAGGCAGCACCGTCAACGACACTGGGGCCGGAAAGAGAAATAATTCATCAACCGAATTCGTGCTCTGGCGCACGGCCCCACGGCCAAAACATCCCGAACAATCCAGAGGGCTACTCCTCTGATGTTAGCTGCCTAGCCAGAGCGGTGTGACTGACAGCGCCTCGTAGTGCAGTCTGGCACCGACGAGCGCGCGAGCCCATCGTCTCGCGAGCGTCTTGGGATAGGCTTGCGCAACTGAAGTCCACAAAGGCCTTCCAGGAGCTCCTCCTCTTAGAATTTGATGAGGCTGACCAGTCCTACTACAACAAGTACGAGAGCCAGTGCATAAGCGAGCGAAAGCCGAGACATCAACACGACAACCTAGGAGGCCAGTCGGCTTTTGCCACGCTGTCCCATCTTGGCAAAAATGCGTGGCAGCCCAGAAAAAAAAGAGGTTGCTTACGACAGCTTTGCAGAGACGGAATGAGCCACAGCCTGGACATCGCGGGATTCTCGACTGTAAAATGGATCTGCAGACGCTTACAACTGACCCAAAAAATCCCACAGCATCTCACTAGCTTATTGGCGGTCGTGATCTGAGCCCGGTCCACTGGGCGCGTCACAGCTGCAAGCCCCCAGAACTCTGAGTCGGAGCGAAGACGGCTCGGCCAGGACGGAGGCCCGCCTGGCACGCGCAGCGGTCCGGTGTCTCGGACTCTGGACCATGTCTCACAGGGCGCGCCGAAATTCATGCCCCAGATCAGGCCGGCGTCCAACCAGCCCCGCAGCACGCGGGGAGACCCTCGGGTCGGTGAGGTCCCAGTCGGCGCCCCAGGCGATGTCACATTCGATGGCCAGGGCGCCCTCGCTCCGCAAGGCTGCTGCAAGCACGCCTTCGCCGGAGAAGACCTCCACGAAGATCGGCGGCGCCAGGAAGCGCCTGCGGCGGGGGCCCAGCAACCTCCTCAGCGCCAGCCGAGGAGAGAGGCCAGCCGTGCTGGGGCCAGCAGGGCCGCGCGCTGCACCTCGGGCGCCAGCCTCTGCAGCTGCTCGTTGACGCGGCCTGGCTTGAGGTAGCGCGCGACCGACGCGTCGGTCCGCCAGCGGCCGCGGAGCTTGACGCTGGCCAAGGTCCGCAACTGCAGTGCCAGCTCCACCGACGGGCCCGAGTGCCGGAGCTGGAACAGCTGCGGGATGAGCGACGCCAGCTCCATGTCCTCCGCCGCCTCCTTGAACAGGGAGCTGACGCGCACGAGGGGGAGCGGGAACAGCGGCTCGCTCGGGTGGGTCGCCGCCTTGAGCCAGCGGAGAGCGCTGGGTAGGAAGCTGTAGAAAGGCAAGTCGAAGGGGATCACCTCGTCGTAGACCTGAGTCTTGCTGGGCACTGCCAGCTCGCGAGGATGGAGCACCAGTGACCAGCCGTCGCACGCGCCCCCCGGCGTCGGGGGGATCAGGTGGGCCCCCAGGGCCCGCAACGCCTCCGACGGCCGCAGGTGGCCCGCGAAGGTCACCAGCACGTAGAGGGCGACCCGCAGCTGGCCCCGATCGATCAGGCGAGTCGCGATGAGCGCCACGATCTCCCAGGGCAGCGGGAGCCTGGTGCGAGCTGGCACTCGCATCCGCCAGCCTCGCAAGGCCTGCAGTGCCTTCGGCAGCCCCTGGCCCCCGCGCCCGAACTGCGGCATCATGAACTTCAGCGCCGCCAGCATGTAGGCCCCGCGCTCGGGGTTCCAGCCCTCGGCGCACTGCTGGTCCATCAAGTGCGCCAGCAGGTCGCCCACTGTCTCGGTGCGGAGGGCCACGGTCAGTGTCGTCATCCAGGCCGCGAACTCGGCCCAGAGGCGCGTGTACTTGGCCCTCGTGGTCGCCGAGATCGAGAGGGCTCTCAGGACATTGCCCGCCAAGGATCGAAGGGGGGCTGCCTCGGGCGCTCGCGCCGCGGCCCTCCCCGCGCGCTTGGCGGCCGCCTCCGCAGCCTTTGACAAGTGGCTGCGTCTCGCCCGGCGCTGGCCTCGCTGCGAGGCCGTCGCCTGGCTGGGGCGCCCCGCTGCTGCCTGGCGCGGGACCGTCGCCGCGAGTGGCGCTGGCGTCAGCACCTGCCTGTCCGCCCTCCCGCCCGGCGGCCATACTGGCGACAGCATCCCAGCGCAGCCGCGCGCCGATCCTCAGCGCCCGGCGGGAGGGCAGGTCCGCCGGGTTCGCCTCCGACGGGATCCACCGCAGCGCCGCGGTGGCGCCTCCTGCCACCACGAGGGCGGCCCACTGGCGGCAGATGCGCGCCATTCTCGGCCGCGAGGAGCGGCCCTTGGTCAGAGCCAGGACGGCGGCGAGACTGTCTGAGAGGAAGAGGACGCGATGGCCATGCTGCCCGGCGTCCCGGAGGACGTGCTTCAAGGCGTGGATTAGGGCCCCCCCCTCCAAGGCTGATGTGCCCCTCCCTCGCCCAGGCCCCGCTCGAGATGACAACCCAGTCCCCTGAGATGTGATGCGCCTCCAGAGGCTCGAAGTCGGTCTCCTGGGGCTCCGTGTGGGGGCTGCCTTTGTCCAGGGGGGCGACGGGCTCCTGGATGTGCGACGGGGCGCTGCATACGTGACCTTTCGAGGACGGCTCGGAGTAGACGAGGGTCCCCGGAGGCTCGAGGGGCTCGATGAGCTGCTCCCGGGGCGCCCTCGCACTGGGGTCTCGGAAGCGCCAGCGCTCCTGGATCCTACCCATCCTCTCCACCACGTCGTTGCTCATTTCACGCTCGCATACCCCTCGGCCCCACTCGGAGGCATCCGTGCGCAGAACTCGGCCCAGCCAGCGGGCCCGGAGGTCGGCGCGGGCCAGCGGGACAACCCCCGTGGCCCACGTCAGCTCTCGGCGCACGCTGGGCCACCAAGGCCTAGGCGCCTCGCCGGCCTTTGCGACGAAGCGGTACACGGCCGAGAAAACTGCCAGCAGCGGGCGCCTCACCATGAAAAGGAAGGCGCAGTGGCCCGCGACCTGGCGCACCTGCTGGGCCGAGACCCTCGGCGCGGCGAGGAGCGCGCGCGTGGCCAGGATGATCCTCCGGGCTCTCCGAGGAGAAGGCGCGACTGCTCCCCGCGCGCCATCGATGGCCCAGCCCAGCACCTGCGCGTGGAGCGAGGCGGCCTCCTCCTCATGCACCGGGAGGCCCTCGCTGCGCAGCTCGGCGACTATGTCATCCTTCAGGCGGTCGGCGGTGTCACCGTCGAGGGCGAGGGAGGCGAAGTTGTCGACGTGCACGAGGTGCGCGCCGGCGCCCAGGCTAGGGCCGGTCCTCCGGTCCGCGATCCTGGACAGCACTGGCAGCCCTGCGCGGTCGGCGGCCGCCTCCGACACCCGCTGGCGGACGGCCAGCGCGTGGGGCCAGCCCATGGGCAGCGCCGCGAGCCGCGGCCAGAGCCGCTGCGCGCGCGGCTGCCCGGGGGCGGCCCCCCGCCCGAGCCTCCAGGAGTCCAGCGGAGGGAGCGCGAAGTACGACCTCCAAGCGTCCGGCAAGTGCATGGTGTAGAAGGCGTCCGCGATGTCCGCCGACGCGGTCCACAAGTTGGCGCCGTCCGGCAGCTCGATCGCCGCCAGCGCCGCGCCGGTGGCCAGGCGGGCGACCTCGGGGTCGCCGAACCAGAGGTTGGCGGGGCGGGCGTCCTCGACCAGCCGCTGCTTCCCACTCTTCTTGGCCACGCTGAATAGGTCAACCTCGTCGACCACCAGGGCGGCGTCGCTGACGAGGTCGACCACCCCGGCCTCGTGGAGACGCCTCGCCAGCGCTGCGTAGCGGCGAGGGTCTCGAAGGCAGGGGTCCGAGTAGGGCTTCTTGAAGCGAGCGCTCTGCTCCTGCTGCAAAACTTCGGTCTTTGGCATGACCTTGCACGCGATAACACGATAGACGGAGTCGAAAACCTCGGCCCCCAGCAGCCGCTCCAGCGCCACGGAGTGGTTACCTGGAGGAGGTAGCGAGAGCCGGGAGACGTCCATCGCCTCCGCCCTGGTCGACAGCGAGCCGTCGTAGGACAGAGCAGCCTGGAGCCCCTGCAGGGCTGCCAAAGGCTGTAGGTCGCCTGGCGGGGGACCCAGCTGGGAGACGGAGTCCGCGACCCGCGTCAGGCACTTCTGCTGCGCGAGCGTCGGCCAGCCCGCGGCAGCGAGCCGCCCTGCACCCCGGGACCGCTGAGACCATTGAGCGCCTCGACCGCCTGCCGCGCGAGCCAGGGCGCGGGCGCCGCGCGCCGCGCGCGCCGCCGCGCGGCCCGGGAACAGACGCCAGCAGCCGGCCCGCCAGGGTCGGCGGCGCCAGGCACGGGCGGCGGAAAGAGGTCCCGCTGCCGCTCCGCGCCCGAGCTGTCGAAAGTGCTGTGTACACCCTCAGCGCCACTGGTAGTCGCCGAGATGGGCCCCGATACCGTAGCGCCCGGGGGAGCTGGGCCACAGGGCCCCCCCGGGCATGAGAGAGTCATGCCTTGGCTCCGCCGGCTTTCGGCCCAGCGGCGGCCTTCGCCTCCTCCCGCAGCTTGCGGGCGTTCTTCTTGATCTGACTGATGCGCTCGAGCTCCTTGCCGACCACGTCAATCAGGGCGGGGCGCGCTATGCTGCTTGGACGATTCGACGGGCCCGTGCCGCCCATGAAAGCGGAGACCTCCTCCACCGGCAGCTCCAGCTGCCCCGCATCCTGCTCCCGTTGCTTCTCGCCCCAGAAGTGCCCGATCAGCTGCGTCTTCCTCAGAAGACGCTCCGCGCCGAGGAGGTTCGTCGCGTTCACCTCGTCGTGCGTGGCGAGGTCCTCGAGCACGGTGGAGAGCGTGTGGCGCTCCGAGACGCCCCAGTCCGAGGAGTTGAGCCTCTTGCGGGACTTCCAGCTCTCGCGGTGCTAGATCGGCCCGCCCTTCCGCAGCAGCCGCGCCGCGCACCAGCCCGCGGACCTCGGCTGCAAGGTGAAGCTGGGGTCTGCCACCTCCACCGCCGACTCGGTCACTGCGAGCCAGCTCCGTGCCGGGCGAACGCCCGGCGTGCGCGCCAAGATCCTCGCGCCGGTCCCCCGCCGCTTGTCGATGAAACCACCTCGCCGCCAGTCCTCCAAGAGGAACGCCATGGCGGAGGCACCTCCGACGGGAGTGATGGTCGCACGTCGGCCCGCTCACGCTGCCAAGATCGCGCCACCGATCGGGCCGAATTGCGCCGCCGAGCCGTAGGCGAGGCCGCCTGCATCCTCGGCGTGCACCCACGACCAGCCCGCTGGCGCCTCGCCGTTCGGCCCGAGGGGGCGCCGCCGTCGTCCTTCCTGGAGGGTCCTGGAGGCGCTCCGACGGCCGGGGGTGCGCCCGGCGCGATGGGCACGCCGGCCGCCGGGCCTGGCACCGCCGCGGCGAGCGGTCCGTCGGGCGCGGGCGGCCCGGCAGCGGCCAGCGCGGCAGCGGCGACCCCAGCCGCGGGCGGTGCGGCGGCAGCCCCATCGGGAGGCGGCACGGGCCCGACGACGGCGGCTGGCGCGGCCGCGGGCGCCGCGAACCCCGGCAGCAGGCCGCCCGCCATCGGCACCAGGGCGCCGCCGGGCGGCACGGGCACCCCTGGATGGCGGCGGCCGAACTCGGCGTCGGCCTCCGCGACGGCGGCCGCCAGCCAGGCCGCCTCGCGCGCCGCCGAAGGGGCCTGGCGGAACCTGTGCGTCGCGCCAGGGTCGATCCCCGGCGGCGGCGGCCACCTCGTAGTCGAGAACCGCACCGCCGAAATGTCGGGCCCCGCCGTCAGCAAGGTCTCGGCATAGACCATTTCATCAGGGGTCACGATGATCACGTCACTCGTGAGCGCCAGCTGGCCTGCTACCCTCCTCTGGTGGATCAGCGGCGCGCCGACCACTTTGTAGAGGACCCACGCCCACGCCTCCGACATGAGGCCCAGCGGCGAGCGCAGCGAGCGGCCACTGTGTCCCTGACACGCTGGCGACCGTCGCGGGTCGGCCGCGGCCATCCGCAGCACCCCAGCGCGGCGCCCAGAGCCAGAGCGCCGTGAAGGTGCCGAGGGCCCCGAGCGACGCGCCAGCCAGCGCGGCCGTCCCGCAGGCGAGTGCGACAGTGCCCGTGGTCGCGCCCACTGAGGCATCAGGGCAGGGCGGGCAGGCTGGGCAGCTGCAGCCCGGGAGCGCTGGGCACGGCGGGAGCTTCACCACCGGGCAGCGTGCGACCCAGGCCTGGAGCGCGGGGACGCCCCAGCGGTCGATGAGCCCCGCCCAGCCCGCGGGAAACCCCAGGAAGGCCCCGGCCATGCGCCGCGGTCAAGCCGCGGCCCACCAGCTCGAGAGCCGGAGGCTATTGACAAGAGACAACGCATTCTGCATTCGGCCTCTCCCTTCCCCTCTAGAGGCATTCATCTTCAATAGAAAAGTCCATCATCGTCGTCTGCATCATCTTCTTTCCGCTGATCGTCAGCACCCCCTTCCTACCACCTACTTCCATCTGCTTTCTCCCATTCCCATATCATCGCGTTCTTATTCATAATCTTCGTCGCGCCGCGCCGAGGTTTCGGCTCGAGCCAGCTCAAATTAGAAGCCCCCAAAAGGGTACGAAACCCTACGCGGCGAAGCTAGAGAAAAGCGCAACTTACAAGGCAACACGACGCTTTGAGTAATTCCTGCTCCAGCCCCACAGGCGGCGCCTGATGACGGAAGACGCACGCGCGGCCGCCGCCAAGCTGAAGAACCGCCTTGTGCAGGCGGCTACGAAAGGATTCTTCATGTGGCGACCTTACACAAGGATGTCAAGTGAGGGGGATCTGCAGTGGCCTCCACATTTCAAACCCTTTTGTAACAGCCTTTACGCAAGGAACCCTTTTGTGGCGGCCTTACAAAAAGGGTTTCCACTGTGGGGGGATCTGCGGTGGCGACACCTTGAGCCCAGGAAAGCTAAAGAGGAACACAGGACAAACAGGAACAGCAGGAAACAACCTGTGTTTCACAGAGGTTATTAAGAACAAGCTAGGAATACATGTGGCTGTCAGTACTTTTATGGTGCAGACGCTCCACAACGATAATCGTCTTGTAGCAGCCTTGACACAATGATTCCTGCTGTGGCGACCTTACACAAAGGTCTTTTGTGTGGGGGACCTGCAATGGCCTCCACACTTATAACCGTTTTTTTTTTTTTTTTTTTTTTTTTTTTTTTTTGCATTTTTGTAACAACTGTTACGATTCCTTCTGTGGCGGCTTTGCAAAACATGGTTTTCATTGCGGTGGGGTCTGCAGTGGCGGCACCCTGAACCCAGGAAAGCTAAAGAGGCAACTAAGACAAAAACAGGAACAACAAGCCACAACCTGTGCTTTCGGATGGAAAAACAAGAAACAGCTCGGAAGACATGTCACTCGTACCTTGACAGCTCGGAAGACATGTGCCTGTCGCTACTTTTTATGGCGCAGGCGTTCCACAATGAAAATCCTCTTGTAGCAGCCTTTACACTATGATTCCTTTTGTGGCGGCTTTACACAAGGAATCAAAATGTGGGGCACCTGCAGTGGCCTCCACACTTAGAATCATTGTGTAACAGCCTTTACAACAGAATTCCTTGTGTGGCGGTCTTACAAATTTTTTAGTGGTGGAGGATATGCAAACAAGGAATTATGCTGTGAAGGCTGTTGCAATAATGATTCTAAGTGTGGAAGCCACTGCAGGTGCCCCACACTTAGAGTCCTTGTGTAAGGTCGCCACACACGGAATTCGATTGTAATGGCTACTGCGTAAGGATTTTACTGGTGGAACGCGTGCACCATAACACTACCGACAATCACATGTCTTCTAAACTTGTTCTACTTTTTCCATGTGCAAGCATTTTTTCCGGTTTTCCTCTGTGGCTTTCCTGGGCTCAAAGGTGCCACCACTGCAGATCGCCCCACAATGAAAACCCTTTGTTGAAACTGCCCAAACAAAGGAATTCTTTTGTAAAGGCTATCGCACAAATCATTCTAAGTGTGAGGGCCGCTGCAGGTCCCCCATACTTAACGTCCTTGTGTAAGGTGGCCACACAAGGAATCCTTTTGTAAAGGCTGCTGCAATAAGTTTTTATCTGTGGAACGTCTGCGCCAAAAAGCACCGACAGTCACATGTCTTCCTAGCTTGTTCTTATCTTTCCCTGTGCAAAATACAAGCTTCTTCGTGGTTTTCCTGTTTTCCTCTTCCCTCCCTCGAGCGTCCTGGGCCCGCCGAGCGGCCCAAGCACCTCCGCCCAGAATTTCATTGAATCCGAATTAGACGGTGGTTAGGTGTTCATTGTTATAGCGCAATTCCCAAGCTCAGGTGATTACCATTCGATTGCGGTTCGATTTCTGGTCAAACCATATGACAAAGAGTGGATCACTGATCCAGATGATCTGTTCGTTGTTTGCGAGAGAGGAGGGCTCCACAACGTTCCCTTCTCCGAAGTGGACGCGCACAAGTGGAGGGTTGGATATTCAGCGCCTGAGATCAAAACAGGCACAGCAATGACACATAAGCGCGTCACGGGAAGCGGGATGAGAAGCAGCATCGCCGCACCGCTTTCCAGATGGCTTTCTCACCACGACCCGAAAGCAGGCCAGCATGGGCCCTGGCAGGTGTCCAAGGATCGATCTCACACGGAGTCGTCGACGAACCCCCCTCGAGGAGGCAGGATCGAGGATCGAACCGCCCGTCTTGCAGCATGGGCCCTGGCAAATGTCCAAGGATCGATCTCACACGGAGTCGTGGACGAACTCCCCTCGAGGAGGCAGGGCTCGAAGATCGAGCCGCCCGCCTTGCCCGCAACTCCGCCCCCGTCGGCCCGTCGCCCGCGAGAGCCGGAGCGGAGCAGAAAGTCGAGGGCGGGCGGTCGCGGGGGGGAAGGCGAAGGAGAGATGTTGGAATGCTACAATCAATCCGTATGATAAGGATGCGCGGTAAGGATGCAAGGGCCTTGGAGGGCCATGCTGACGATTTTCGAACGAGGTTGGCCAGCGAAAGTCGCTGAGGATGGGCCGACGGGGAAGGATGCAAGGGTAAATTTGGGAAGGTTGCACATCCTTCCCATGCGGATTGACTGTAGAGGAAGACGCAACTACAAAACTGTAAACTTTCGACGGTCCGCGCGGATTTTTTGGATCTGCGCTGGAGCCCCCTCCCTGGAGCAAGGAGCGCGCCAGGGGCGGCGCCGGAGGCGCCGCAAGGGGGCTCCAATGCAGTTCCAATGACTCCTCGCGGAGCGTCGGCTGTTTGTGTGTATGCAGTGTTTCTTCTTCCATCGAGGGCGAGGGAGAGATTGGGAAGTGGACGGGCGAAGGGGGAGGGATGCGACAGGGGCCAGGTGGGCGCCAGAAGGGGGGGTGGGTGGGGCAGTTCACGGGGGGGACGATCGACAGCTGCAGGAGATGGGCCTGAGAGCCCCCTCCGAACTGCCCCACCGTGGCCCAAAGACGCGACGGGGAGGTGCGCCTGTCTCTGCCCGCCGGGCCCAGGCCCCCTCGCGCTGTGAATTCATCGCAACGGGAAGCTTTCGCCCATTTCGTTCTCCGGGAGCCCTTACCGGGCCTCGGGGCCGTCAGAAACCGGCTCAGGATTGAAAGACTGGCCCTGGGGAAAAGGGATGCAGACCTCTGGGGGTCGACGTTGTGAACAAAATCGCGACGTCGGGGGACTGGGTTCCCGCCGTTCACTTCCCCCCCCGAATCGGGGGAGCAAGGTGGGATATGGGGCAGGGGTGGAAAAGGACGGGTGGAAAAGGACATTGCTCCAAGCGAGCCCTGGAAGCGGGACGTGAGCAACCAGCTGGCTTCGTTCCCTAACCCTACCTTGGGGTGCCCCCCCCTCCCCCCCCACGAACCCCCGACCAATGTCCGTCCGCCCGGGCGAAGGGGGGGGGGGGGGGGGCAGGGGCTTCCTCTCTGGGGCCAACTTCTCAGACCACGCAACGCCCACCCAGGGGCTCGGCAGGGCCCTGGCGGGAGCCCGAGAGCGGGGGAGAGACCTCCAGGGCGGCGTGTCCTCCAGGACTCCGTTCTCTTCGCGCTACTCCTGAAGCATCGACCCCCTCGGACCTCTCTTAGGGTTCGCTTTGGCCAGAGCTCCGAGGGGGGATCCAGCCGTGGCGACGAGAAGCCTCGCAGGAAGCCTCCAAGAAGACAGAACGGCGCCAAAGGCAGCTCGAACTTCGACCCTCGGATCTCGACCTCGTCATGCCGCGGTGAGAGGGAGGTCCAGACATGGGCAGGACGAGCCAGGGTGACTTGAGCAGGGAGCGACCGTCCTGGCATTCCTGTAGGCCTACCACGAAATATTCTCAGAACCCAAGAATGTCCTAAGAACACAAACGGTGTTCTTGAAATATAAGACCGATGTGTTAAAACAAGACAGTCCCAATCAGAAATGTCCCGAGAACACTTCGTGGAAACCACAAACAGTTCTTAGAGCATTGTTTGGTAGGGCTATAGGCGAGCCAGGATGCTTCGCCACTGCTTGAGAGAAGGTCCAGACAGGGGCAGGACGAGCCAGGGTGGCGAGAGAGCGGGCCAAAGAGCACGGGCCGGCCATCGCCTCCGTCTGCAGCCTCACCACCTGGGGGTCGGCCCACGGGGCCCAGCGCGGCCGAGGAGGCAGCCCCGAGACAGGGCCAGAGTTGGAGGCCTGGAAAAACAGGCACCAACACCAGCACAGGGGTTTGCCTCCACAGGTGGAAGAAAATCATAGATTTTGGTGTTGGTGGTAATATTTCGGCCACCTTGGAAGACAGACTACTACCGCCATCACCGAGATCGGGATCTTCTTCCCTCGGTGGAGGCACATCGCCGATATTGGTGTTGGTGTCAATCTCTAGGCCTGCGACAGAGACGAAAAACATTTAGCCTGCGGGGGTACAGGGGCACATCTTCTCTACAGCTGCTACTGTAACCAACCTTGTCAAACCAAGAACAGTCAACAACATTGAACTAATCACAGGCATTGTTTATTGTGCACTGACAGTATAAACTTGCCGTCGCAATGCTATGCGCTTTTGTCTTCTCCATGCCCTGGAGTGTCCCAAAGCTCCGTTGGGGTCCTCGGGGGCATCGGGGAGAAAGACATTTCCCGCTTGAAGGCCGGATCTTTAGTTGGCAAACTTGCTGCACTACAAAGCGGGTTCAAGATGGCTCCAAGGCGTGTTTCAACCTTACTCCGAGATTGGCAATTACAACAACAATCACACAGTAACAACCGAAATTTACCTATATCCTACATTACCGACCAACAGCAAATCAAGAGGTTCGGGGGGATGGAACCATCGACGGGACAACCATCGGAACAACCGTCCCTATCCATCGAACAACCTGTGTCGATCTTTATCTCGATCGATCTCACGATCTATCAATCCCACTACGAATCTACCGACTCCACTGCCTATACAACTGTTGGTATCTTTCTCTTTATGTAAGGCTTATCGGCCTCAGTATCGATCTACCGATTCCCAAAGCAGCCAACCAACCATCGGGACAAGCATCGGGACACCAATCGGGGTAAACCCTATCTGTCTATGTATCCATCTACGGGTCTCAAAGAATGTCTCACTATACATGCATCGACGTCGCGGTGCATCCATCGATATCACGATTTATGTATACATATATATATATACATATTGATGTCACTACCTGCCGATCGATCTAAGTATCGATATAAGTACAGGTCTATCGGCCTCACTGTCTCTTTACCGATCTCACTACCAATAAGACAATCAACCATCGGGGCGACCATTGGGACAATCATCTCGACCACCATCAGGGCGACCCTCAGGACAACCATTGGGACAACCATCGGGACAACCATCGGGACAACCATCGGGACAACCGTCGGGACAACGACGGGACAACCACGGGATAACCACGGGACAACAAAGGGAACACCCTGGGATAACCGCGAGCCCAATTTTCCGAAGGAAGGTTTTTTATACCGACTTTACCCTGGCAGCGGCGGGCTCACTCCTCGCCAGGGCACGTAGCTTCGCCTCGCCGACACGCCCGGCACGAAGACAGATTTCTTAGTGGAGGGTCTCCGTCTCACTTCGATCTTACCCCGAACCTCGGGTTAAACGCTACTTCCATGGCGGCATTACGCCCCACGCAGATCGTTAGCGTAACACAGAGATATGTATGTTTATAGCGTGCGAGCGAAAGAGAAGAGTAGCATCGAGAGTACCCTGGAGAGCACATGAAACCACAACGCGGACCATAAGGTAAGCCATGCCGAAAACCATAACGGATACCATGCGGGAAACCAAAGAAACTGTAACAGAAAGCATGCCTTAAAAGAAGCCGTGAGGGAACCCATAAGCGGGACCATAAAGAAACCCGGAGACCATACGGGAGACAATGCAAAAGAACACACCAGAAACCCATTGGGAAACCGGGAGACCATGCGGAAGACCGTACAACAAACCATGCGGGAGGCCATACGGGAAACCGCACGGGAAACCACACGGAAAACCACACGGGAGATCACACGGGAAACCACACGGGAGACCGTACGGGAGACCACACGGGAGACCGCACACAAGAGACTACACGGGAGACCGTACACAAGAGACTACACGGGAGACCATTCAAGAAACCATGCAGAAGACCATACAGGAGGCCGCGCGGGAGACCACGGGCTACAAAGGGCCACCGACTCAGGACTTGGAGGACTTCACACCCGACAGCAGAAACAATCGATCGGTCCCTTGCAGGCAGCTGTCGAGGAAAAATATGGCAACACCATCGTTTTCTCAAGATGGCCCTTGGATGATCCCTGAGAGGCCAAATGCACAAGAAACTATCAAGTGTGCTATTCAATCCTCTGCTGAAGATGCCCCCCAAGTGGGCCCAGATGCTCCTTGAACGACCACGGGGGCTCCCCAGAATAGCAAGGGAGAGGGCCTCCCGACATCTAGCCCCGCACGGATTTCTTGGGTCAACCCTGGATTGTGCCGAATCGGACCGCCAAGAGATCGGAATCGGATCGGATCAGGCTGGCTGGGGTAGGTATTGGATCGATAACTGCCTTTGAAGGGAGGGAGAGGAGAGAGGCGGCCCTGCATCGAGAAGAAGGATATTCGGGTCGGGCGAAAGGGGGGGATAGCAAAGGGGGGGTTTGAGAATCAGCTCACCGAGCTGATTTTCCCAGCGCCTCCCGGCGCCGGGAGGCGCCCATGTATCGAGGAATGGGCCCCTCGGTGAGGCCGAAACCAGCTGCATGTAGCAAATTTCGTAACCCCCCCTTTCCCAATCCCCCCCTTTCGCCCGGCCCGAGATATACACGTAAGCACAGCCTTTTGGAGGTCGGCGAGGGCTTCTCGGGTCGAGGCTGGACCCGCCTCCCCCCGCGCGCGGGGCGCGCCGTGGGCGGCGCCGGAGGTGCCGCCAAGAGGGGGGGAGGTCCCACTTCCGACCCAAGAAGTACGCGCGGAGCTTCGAACGTTCCTGTTTCTTCTCCTCCTCCTCCTCCATCCGCCATCTCCTCACTTCACAGTGCACATCTACTTCTTCCATGTCGCACCACCAGGCGTGTTCACAGGCTGGGCTGGGCGTTTTGATGGAGCCTTCCTGGCAACTCCTTTTTCTGAAGCCCAACAGAACTCGGAAGGTTACAAGGAAGGAGGACAGGTGGTTTCCCAAATGCGGCTCCTGCCGCAGCGCCGCGCACACTTGTTTTTGTTATGCTTAGTGTTCTAGGAAAGTAATTAAACACAAACATAAAGCAGTCACACACACACACTTATAGGGGTGATGGTTTTCGAAATGGGCTCTCGCCTTAGCGCTTAGCGCTGAGCGCATACACGCACACACAAACACTTGTGTTTAACATTCCAAACACTTCCTCGGAGGCCGTGGAATCTTGCTCGCGTGCTGAGGCCCCGACATCTGAAATTGTGCGGCGATTAATTACGCGTCTGGAGGGCGGATTACAGATGATGCGTATGCAGCAGTTACTTTCTCGAGAAAAAGGAACAACTTTCGCGCAGCCAAGGCCGCGGTCGCGTGCAAGGCTACGACGCTGCGCGCAGAGGAGGAGGAGGAGGAGGAGGAGGAGGAGGAGGAGGAGGAGGAGGAGGAGGAGGAGGAGGAGGAGGAGGGAGGAGGAGAGGAGGAGGAGGAGGAGGAGGAGGAGGAGGAGGAGGAGGAGGAGGAGGAGGAGGAGGACGAGAGGGAGGAGAAGAAGGACGATGAGGGGGGACGACGAAGAGGAGGAGGAGGAGGAGGAGGAGGAGGAGGAGGAGGAGGAGGAGGAGGAGGAGGAGGAGCGAGGAGCGAGGAGCGTGTCGCTGTCCTCGTCCGACCCCGCCCCCCCCGCCCGGGCGCCTGCTCGCACAGCGTGTCGAGCCTGCCCCTCGCCACGACCTGCCGAGCTGTGGTGCGCGGCCGCGCTAGCTCTGCGGAAGAAGCTCGAGGGGGTGAAGGGGTGGGCGGGAAGGGGGTGAAGGGGGTGAAGGGGGTGAAGGGGGTGAAGGGGGTGGGGGGCTCGAGTGTCGGGGCTCCGGGATCGAAGATCGATGGGGGTGAAAGGGAGGGAGGAAGGAAGGAGGGAGGGAGGGAGGGAGGTTCGAAGCTTGAGGGAAGGAAGCGGCGAGGGAAGCAGGGAGGGGCGGGGGGTTCGAGAATCAAGGCCCGAATATTGAAAGAGGAAGGAGGGAGGGAGGGAATGAGGGAGGGAAGATATAGGGACGGGGGGAGGGAAGGAGGGAGGGAGGAAGGTTCGAGGATCGAGGTTTGAGGATCGAAGGTCGATGGATGGAAGGGGGAGAGGAACAACGCCGACAAAAGAAATGAAAAGCGGACCTCCGAAAATAGCTGTACATGCAAATGTTTCTCCTTCGAGAGTTGGACAAGGTGGATCTGTACCGCTGCCCTCGTCTGGCCCCTCTATGAATCGAGCATGTACACTGGTCCGCCTTCTTCTTCCTCGCCCCCACTCTGATCGTTCCCACCCCCCGAACCTCCACGAGCATACAGTTACAACTTAGAATAAGGATGCGCGATAAGGATGCAACAGTCGGCGCTGATTGGAGAGGAATGTAGAGGCCATGAGTCGCGAAACACATGACACGAAGGCGCCCTCGACTTCGCAAGGTCCACCTACTATTGCGCCGGGACCGACCGTCCCTGCATTCCTATGGGCCTACCACGAACTTTTCTTAGAACCCGCAAATGTTCGAATCACAATAGACCGTATTCTCAGAATCTGAGCCCAATGTCTTAAGACAAGACGTCTCAGCCAGAAATTCTCTGAGAACATTTCGTGCACACAGGAACAGGTTTTTAGAACATTCTTTGGTGGCCCCATGCGCAAGCCAGTTCGCTTCGCCACTGCCCGATACGGATCAGCCTCGACTGTGCTTCAGCCGCCCTGGCCGCCTCACGGAGCCCGGCCGACCACCCCGCCGTGCCGTGCGGAGGGGGGCGGCGGGCGCGGGCCAACGGGCTGATCTGACTCGCCGCCGCGTGGCCGCGGGAGGCCTCCGCATCGCGGGAGGCCCGGCGGCGGCGGGGGGCGCGAGAGCGAGGAGAGGCGTTGGGGGGTGGGGGGGCACCAGCCAAGATTCACAGTGCGCAGCAGAAAGAACGTGAAACAGGAGGAGCAGGAGGAGGAGGAGGAGGAGGAGGAGGAGACCAGCGTGTGAGAAACGAGGCGGAGGAAGAGGAGGAGGAGGAGGAGGAGAAGGAGGAGGAGGAGAAGAAGGAGGAGGAGGGGGAGGGGGAGGAGGATGAGGAGGAGGAGGGGGCCCATGTCTAACAGAGGCGTCGGGTGTCTCAGAAGGGAGACAGCGGATCCGATCCTGATGATCCTGGGCGTGCGCTGGCGCTCACAACGCGGGTCTCATGTCGTGGCCAGGCTGAAAAGGCAACATGCGAGCAATTGCCTTACCGCGTTGCAGGCCGATTCGAGATATGCCGCGAACGCGGATGACAACGACTATGCATCATGGGCTAAACAGCGACTGAGGAGGAAACAAGTACGTATCGGCTTGCCCATGGATGTCATCGCAGAAGGGCGGCTGGCCGCAACGCGTGCACATTTGAGTATTAAGCGATCCGGTTCACCCACAGCTGGCGAACAAAAACCCTCCTTCCTCCCCCACACACATGAAGCCCAATCCCGAGATGCTCACCTTTTTCAGGGTAGCACGCCGTAGGCGTCGAGATGTCGGAAGGCACAGACAGGCATGTCGCTCGAACGGACGGTGGCATGCAGAACAACTGGAAAGACGCGACGCCGTTCCCAACCTTCTGTCACCAAACATCTGTCTACCTTAGGACCGCTGAGCCCCTGTACCTCGACATTCATGAATCAGTGCGCGCGAAAGTGTATCCTGCATGCTTGTTCAGGTCTGGCCCCATCCCACACCCCAGCCTCACTCGCGACTTCGGACCTGTCCTGGGCCAAGAACTGCCGAATCTCCGCAGTGCCCGAGGCATCGCTCTTCTGCCCCAGCGCCTGCACGACCTGCTCGCACACCGTCGCGCTGCCGCCAGGAACCTGGACTCCCACTCGGCGGCGGGCTCGGGCGGGAAGGCAGAGGGGGCGGGCCCCCCCAAAACGGGCTCAGCAGACCTGCAGCCTTCTAGAAAAACTGTCTGAGCCTTCCGCGGGAACGCCGAGGGCATCTCAGAAGGCCGGAGGGTCTCTGAGAAGCCCCGCCGCCTTCTGAGAGGGCCTGCCCCCTTTCTTTCCCTCTCGGCGCACCGCCGACCCCTATCCTCGCACGTGCGTGCTGAGGGCTCCTCTCCCGTGCCCGCTCCGCAGCTCCTACCTCCTGCCCTTCTCTCCCCGGAGCGCAGCGTGGCCTCCAGCCCGTCGGCCACCCGTGCACCAAAGCTCTCCTCATCCTCCGTGACATCACAATTGACACAACAAGAACATGGAGTGCGACTCATGAGCCAGAAGCTCCCGCCACGTGTGCCAAGCGACCCCCTCCTGATGATGGCCCGAACCAAAACACGAGGTGCAAGACTCTGCTTGTGCCCTCGACGATGCATCCGCGCAGCCTGCGATCTACCACGGTTCCCGCTGGCACGTAGTGGAGTTCTGGAGTGAGAGGAAGAAAAGCATGAACATACACTCCCGAATGCGAGACATCCTGGTCGTAGACTACGACAAGTGTGCCGTGGCTCAATTGGTGCATGCGACAATTGTGCCGCGCCGTGCCCGCGTGCCGTACATCATTTCTGGACTGCAGAAAAAGTGCCGTGCCGGGCTCGCCTACTATGCCGTGCCAAATTTAAGACTGCGAATAACGTTCCATGCCGTGCCGTGCCCGTGTGCAATGCCTAAGTGGCAGAATGCGAAAAACAGCCGTGTTGTGCAGTGCCTAATTCTAGAACGCGACAATGTGCCGTGGCTTGCGGTGTCCGCGCACCGTTGTGTGCTGTTGTTCTTGCGGCGGAAACCGCCCACACCAAGCGCGCCCCCTTGAAATTGAACTATCATGTATATATATATATTATCATGCATCGCTCCTGTGGTTTCTTTGCATGGTGCAATGACGGATAATCAAACAACAATAACATAATGCGACAACGTTGCCGCCTGATGGCCGTGCCGTGCCGTGCGCATCGCGCCTCATCTCAGGATGCGAACCAATTGCCATTGTTTCCCACGTTTCGTGAATTATGTTTGCGTCTGACTTCGGAGCAGAGGATTTGTTAACTTGCCCGGTGGACGCCGCTGTGACCCGACCGCAGCACCACACCAGAGGATATGTTGACCAAGCATGGCCGCGAGGATTGCTGGAGTGAGTTTGGAACAAATCTTTAAACCCAAAGAGCAACACACCTCCTCCTCCTCCTCCTCCTCCTCCTCCTCCTCCTCCTCCTCCTCCTCCTCCTCCTCCTCCTCCTCCTCCTCCTCCTCCCGTCGTGACCAAACTGAGAATCCGAACAGAGGCGCCGTGCCGTGCCCGTGCGCCCCGCCGCGCCCGTGCGCCCCGCCCGTGCGCGTCGCGCCCCGCGCCCGGGCCGTGAAGACGCTGCCGCCGTGCCGTGCCGCGGCGTGCCCGCGCGTCGTGCCGTGCGCGTCGCGGCCAGCACCGAGCACGCGACGCGCACACCGAGCAGCCGTGCCGGTGCCCCTCCTCCTCCTCCCGTCCTCCTCCTCCTCCTCCTCTCCTCCTCCTCCTCCTCCTCCTCCTCCTCCTCTTCCTCCTCTTCCTCCTCCTCCTCCTTCTCCTTCAACTCCTTCTCCTCTCGGCACGCAGCACGAGCGAGCGCCGATGGAAGAAGGCGACGCCAGGATCGAGTAGGCTCACCCGCGTGCCGTGCCGTGCCCTCGTCTCCCAAAAGCACAGACCTGCCGTCGCTCGGGCGTCCCCTCTCCGTGCACGCTTCGGTTCCGTGCGCGTGTTTTTTCTGCTCGAGGGTCCAGGAGGGTCCTCGACGGTCCTCGCCGAGAAAAATTGCACACGTCCGAGCGATGCCAAGCAGAGTGCAAAAACATCTCGTACCGTGCAGCGCCTGATTTTCAGGGACCCGTGATTCTTCTCGTGCAGCGTGCCTGTGCAAGGTCTCCGTGCCCGTAGCATGTGGGACATGTCGCTGGGGACTCTCGATTCTCACGGCCCAGGGCCCAGGACCTGGGATCGGGGGTCAAAAACCGACTCCCAGGACATGTCCTGGGACAAGAATTTCAAAGGGAGGCTCGAAATGCGATCTTCGGAGTGCGGCCCTTGAAATCTGCACTGCTGGTTCCTGTCGTGACGACAATTGATTTGGTGTCTGACACCGCGTGGAACATTCGGCCTTCAGCGGTCGCAACCTTCTGATAAGATCGTTCGATGCCTTGCGATTCCAAACCAATGGCGGGGCTCAATCTTGCACGACTGCGCTGACGTCGCCTGCCGTGTCGACGATCCTACCGTACTCGACAGTCGGGGGCTGGAGAAAACGCCCCTGTCCCGAGGTGCCCCCCGGCTCCTGAGCCGTTCTCGAAGCCTCGGGCTTGCCCGCCCCCCCCCCCCCCCCCGTGGGCCTCGCCTGAGCCACCCGAGGGCCACCAAGAACTGCGACGAACACGAGACGACGAGACGAATTCGGACGAAGTGCCAACGCATTTCGGCAACACGCCCGTGATACCGAGCCACGGCATGCGAATGACCACGGTGTCCGACGAGATTCGGAGGCACCTCCCAGACACAGACGCCTGTGAGGATCATGCGCTCGGACGCAGCGAAGGAGGAGATCTCTCAGAGCCGGCGGGTCCGGAATCGGGTGCCGCGGCCCGGATGTGCCTCGAGGAAGCACGCGAAGAAAGGGGGGGGAGGAGGCCAAATCCGCGCACTCCCCAGGGGCGTCCCAGCGCGCAAGGTGCTCGAGCCGTGCCCTGGCGTCGAGAGGCCTCCAGGAGGTCCAGAGAGGCAAAAGCACACCGCGCCCTGCCGCTCCTCCCCTCCTGTCCGCCAGGGCCAGAGACCCCCCGCCGACTCCAAGCTGGACAGACCCGACGGCCGCCCTCTGCCGCAGACCGAGCGCAGCCCGCGCCCCCCGCGGCGCCTCGCGGGGCGCCATCCGCAGCGCCTCCACGGCATACAGCCGCTGCACCTCCACCGACCGCGGAGGGCCGGGGATCGGCCATCATCGGATGAGGTATATAATCCTGCTGGCGCGCAGAGGGAGATATATATAGGGGACTGGGGGGGCTTCTTGGAAGGAGGCTGACTCTTCGAGGGCGCGGGCCTCACATCTGCAGGCAAGGCCCGCGCGCTCCGAGAAGCGGGGGCTGGCCATCGCTCGGACGTCCATTCCCTGTCTTTTTTCGGTTTCGTGCGTGGTTTTTTCGCCTCATGATCAAGGCTGCTCCTCGATGGTCCTCGCCGAGGGAAAGATGCACACGTCCGAGCGATGCCAAGATCCCCCTCCGCCCCCCCCGCCCCCTTTCCTCCGCCGCTGGCGACCAAGGGGGGGGGGGAAAAGGGTGCACTCTTCAGGCCCGTAATTCCTCCTCCTCCTCCTCCTCCTCCTCCTCCTCCTCCTACGAAGCCGGGACGAGGACAACATGGGGTGAGGATGAATCGAGAATCTCTGAGGTCCAGTAGCTCTGGAGGATGTCTCGGGCGCCGCGGCCTTCTCGGAGCGTTCCGGAACACTCCGAGAGCGTTGCGGAACGCCCTGGAACGGATTGATCCTCGTCCTAGCCCCGTCCGACAAAATGCCCACTCTTGGGCCCCGAAAGGGCTACTGCATGGGCCCTGAAGGGCTCCTTTTCTGCAGCCCTCGCTGCACCCCCCCCCGTTATCGCCCCCCCATGACGCGACGCCCAAGGTTGGCCAGACCTCCGAGTCCCAGCTGGTTCGACTACACGCAAGAGTGACCCTGGGTAAGAGTGACCTTGGGTTCGCGGCTTTTTGGGGACCGCGGGGAGACCAAACACGAGCGCGCAAGACGCTCCTGCCGTCTGGCGACCGGGAGGCCCCAGTGCGCCCGCACCAAAGGTCACTCTGGCGAAAGGTTACTCTTACGTGTCGTCGACTGGTGCACTTTCAGGACCAGGCGCTTCAGTCGGACTTGCTTGGACAGGACACGCGAGAGGACACAAGACCCTTCCGAGGGCCACATTGCCATAATAATGTAGGGACCATGGGTCGCGAGACACAGGACACGAGGGTACCCTTGATTTGGCAAGGTCGACCTACTCCTCTGGGCCGACTGCAGATTGACACCCGCTTCCCGCAGCGCAGCTTGCGACGTTCGGGAAGAGAGAGCGCACCGGCTTGGGCTGCATCGGCGCGGGGGGTCGAGATAGCGTCGGATGCGCCGGGATGCACGACTGCGCCAAGCACGCATCAGGCCGCGCCGGACCGTCGGAGCACCGGAATCGAACCGGATGGAACCGAAAGGAATCGATACCGGGCCGGATCGCCCGGATCAAAGCTGACCCTGCGGAGGATTGAACTCACTTTCGCCCCCCTCCCCCTCTTCTCCTTCGGCATTCGACTCTGCGAGTAGACGGGGGGTACATCGCGCTTGGAAGGGATGGGAGGGATGGGTCGGGTGTCAGATGTGGCGCCCGCGCACCCATCTTGCCTCTCGCCCCCTCTCGCGCCTGCCCCCCTCCCCTCTCGCCCTCTTCACCCTCGTCCGTTGCTTCCTCCTTGCTCTCCTCCCCGCTCTGTTTCTGCTTCCTGCTCCTCCCTGCTGCTTCCTGTTGCTCCCTGCTGTTGCTGTTCCTCCGCCTCTTCCTCCTTTTCCTCCATCCGTCTTCCGCATAGGTAGCTCCTCCCTGTCGCACCACCAGGCGGGTTGTGAGGGCGGCTCCGGCGCTTCATCCGCGTCATGAATTACACGGATGAAGCACATGTGTTTTTCAACATGGGGCTCCCGCCATGTCGGCGTGCACGCTCGTTTTGAACATAGCAGCAATTCGAAGATTGGAGGTCGCGCCGTTTTATAGTGTGGCTCTCGCCTCGGAGCCAAGCCCATTTATCTCAAACTCTCTTGACGGTTATATTGGTGGACGCCGGTTCGTTCTCAAAGTGTGGTTCCCGCTTGAGCTTGCCTCTGGTTTTGTGGCCCGGAAGTGGAACATGTGTAACAATGCGGATGGAGGGCGGCTCTCTCTCTTCCTTCTACCATGGTGCTCCCGCTCGAGACTCACGGAACACTCCGTTTTTGGCCCAAAGAGCGCCGCCTGTGCGCACGAGGCGCGCTAGATGAATAACCATGGAATGGTCAAAGGAACGGCGAGACCCCTCCAGACCCCACGTGTTCAGTATGCCAGCGTCTGGACTCTGTCCCACTGTGTCCGGACAGCGAGATCCTGTGCAAAACTGGGCCTCGCCTGAATGGCATGCCTACCATGTGTGCGTCTGCCAAGAGGGGGGCGCTTCACGCAGTGGAGAGGAATGCCTGGAAGGGCTTGAGAAACGGAGGCCTGGGACCGGAGGGCCTGTTGTAGCGTCGCTGTTGCATGTTGGCTCTGCTCTGGTACTTCCCTTCTTGCGCCTCCGCGCTGCTCCTTCTACCTTGCGATTTCCAAGCAGCTGGATGGAGACCAGGCGCAATGAGCGGACCATGCCCCTGCCTCCACCTGGCCACCTCCCGAAGCGTCTTCTCGTCCAGCGCCCTCCCACCCCCCCTTGATGATGATGATGCTGATGCTGATGATGATGATGATGAGGATGATGATGAGGATGATGATGATGATGCTGAGGATGATGATGATGGTGATACATGGTGAGGGTGATGATGATGATGATTTTTTTTTGAAGGCGCCCCGAGGCGGACGCCGAGGTCGGCCGCCCGCGGCCCCCCGCCCTCCCGTCCAGGACCTTGAGGAGGTAGGCGGCACCTGGAGGGGAGAGGGAGGGCGCAGCCCCCGAGGGGAGGCTGTCCCGTCGCCCTCCCCTGTCCTGCCGTGGCACGCAGGTCCACGACAGGCCCAAAGCCCCGAAGGGCTACCCAGCGTGTCCAGGGAGCCAGCGCCCATGACGGCCATGAAGTGCCGGCGAGCTTGTCAGGATCCACGTAGCCGCAGTCGGCGACGAACAGGCCGGTGGAGCCCATCAGCGGCACGACGAAGAGGAGGGGTCAGAGGTCTCGCACACATCGTGGGCACTCACCTCGACCTTGTCCCCATCAGGGTAGATCCCCACCTCGAAATTGGCCTCCCCCACGACAGACAAGATAGTGCCGATTCGGCCAATGAAAACTCCTTCCATCACATTTGCAAACCGTCGCACGAAGAGATCCAATGGCCAGGCCGAGCGTTGACAAACTTCCCAGATCGAGGCAGGGCCATCAACCTTGTCGTCACTGTGAGGGCAGTGATGCCTGAAAAGAATCTCCCGCCTGAGCCGCGGAACAGCAGGTAAGGGACTGTCAGCATCATGATAAAGCGCCTGGCCAGGGATGGCTCCCTTCCATAGCTGTTCCTCGGACACCGTGGGTAGACGCAAGCAGGTAGCCTTGATCAGGTGTGTGGCCATGGAGTACACGCTCACAGGAATGATCTATACGAACTGATTCCAAGCCTTTTGGTATTTGTCACAGCCACCAATAACCACCATTTCACCATTGAGGCGGCTGCGTAGAGTATCCACTCGCGCATGTCTCCCGATCATCCTGTCCAAGTCCCAACCTTGCCCTCGACAAAACTCGGCAACTGTAGGCTGAATGGCAGGAGCAGCAGGAACTGGAGCAAGACCTGGAGCACCAGCAGATCCTTCAGCAGGAAGGGGTGCTGGAGGCCCCTCTGGAGCAGGGGGCACACCATCCTGACGATGTGCAGCGTCAGGGGCAGGCGCAGGGAGAGACTTCGTCATCACGTCGATGTGCCTGTATCGCCAGGAACATATCCTTGATTTCGCTAGGTAAAACTTCCTCAACTTTTCCAGGAGAGCAATCTGGTGCACGACCAGGGGCGAGAAGAAGATCAGAACTAGGTAGCCCAGCACAGGGTAGGTCGGCACCATCAGGACCCGCAAGTAGCAGCAACTCCTCAATGGTCATCCCGTCGTCCTCGAGTAAGAGCTCCTCCACCTTCCCAGTGTCATCATCAGGTGCACGACCAGGGGCGAGAGAATGGTCCTCGCCGATCGGCACGAAGACCTTCGCATCAGAGTTGAAAAGGGAAGACAGGAATCGCAGGTAGATCAGCAGGAGTATGGCCATGGTCAGCATGACGCCGAGGACGCTTGGCATCGCCCCAAGACCTATGATCATTACCTCCACCAGCAGGCCCAGCAACAGCAGAAGAACACGGGTCCAGACCCGTGCCATGCCAAGGGTCACGCAATCGGCGACGAGCACGGCCTCCAGGGTGATCATCTGGTCCATCATCCTCGTCTCCTCCATCATGTCCGTCGGGCCCCACAGGGGCATCAGCGGGTCCAGCGACAGCCCGAAGTTGAAGAGAGATGTGGGCCTCTCCTCGGCTGTTCTTGTGGCCGTGGTCCACCGAGACGGTCCAAGGGAGCGAGCCAATCACCGAGTAGATGAGGTCGATCAGAATGGCGTTCTGCGTCTTGTCGTCTACCTCGGGGAGGAGGACGATCTGGAGCAGCAAACGGTCAGTATGTGAGGCCAATTGGAAACGAGCCTTTCGCCCAGCCCGTAGCTGCGCGAGAATCCAATCGAGCCTCGCAGCCACGACCATCCACGGGGCGAAGCGGGGGGGCCCTGCACGTGCAGAGCGGCGGTAACTCGGGATGCGAGCAAGTGCTCGAGCCCAAATGGTTACTATGATGATGATGATGATGATGATGATGATGATGATGATGATGATGATGATGATGATGATGATGATGATGATGATGATGATGATCATCATCATCATCATCATCATCATCATCATCATCATCATCATCATCATCATCATCACCTCCTTTGGTCCACGATCCCTCCTGCCTTTCGACTCCGTGCTCCCTCGCCACCCATTCCTTCCCCCCTGCCACCCTGAGGCTCAGTAGCCAGGCCTGGCCACCGTTCTCTTCCCTGCGAGGAGGATTCCGATACAACACATGTATACATGCATACACATCTAAATACATGTGATAGATTGAGGTAGAGAGAGCGGGAGGGAGTGAGAGGGGGAGAGAGGGAGGAAGGGACAGACAGACAGACAGACGGACGGACAGACAGACAGCCAGATAGACAGACAGACAGACGGACGGACGGACGGACAGGCAGACAGACGGACAGACAATCAGAAAGAGAGAGGGAGAGGACGGATGAGTGAGTGAGAGAGAGGAGGAATGAATGAGAGTGAGGAGGAACACGAGGGTGAGGGTGGGGAGCGCTGAGGGAGGAGGGAGGGATGATGAGGGAGGGAGCGGGAGGAGGGAGAAGGAGGCATGATATAAGACAGCGGAAGAAGAAGGACGACGAGCCTGACGTGGAGGATGTCATGCGGAGGCGAGGAAAAGATGAATGAGAAGAGCGGAAGGAGAAATAATGAGGTGTAGATGGATGCGGAAGAAACGACAAGACGTATATGTTCTTTTGGCTGCCACATCGAGCGGGGGCGACGCTCGACAACGGCGTCACTCGCCCAGCTTCTCCCTCATCTCTGCCAAAGTTACGCGCGCTGCTTCCGGGGGGACTTGGCGCAGGAAATTCAGCAAGTCCGGGTTGGCCTCCAAAACCTGCCGCCATGTCCGACAGAGAACCCTAATTAAATGCCAAGGGTGCCCAAGTACCGGCCAATAGACCAAACTATACGCAAACTGTGAAACGAGTAATTCGTTGCATGCCAATTTAGACCAGCCAGCAACAACACCTGAAACTAGCATTTGTTTGTTCCTCCTCTCTCCCAAAGCTTCGCGAACCTCCTCTGAAGCGCTGGCTCCCGCACTGCTTTGAAGGCACAATCGCATTGCACAAACTCGAAACACCACCAACGAGACGCCTGGTCAGAATGGCACGGAGAACAGCGCACGCCTACGAGCGAGACATACTAAGCTAAGATCAGGTCAATGCTTTGAGGACGGGTGGGCAGAAATCAGAGGTGCTACGCAATGCTATGCACGCCAGCGCTCGGCGGGATCATCAACATAGGGTCAACATGCGCGGACGAGGAGCTCAAGACGGAAGGGGGGTGGAGGAGGAACATGCGAATCAGCTATCGCAGAAATTGGCCAACGTCTGTGCTAGAAAAGCTGGCGCCCCTATAAGCCCTTAGGACGCGGCTCATGAAACGAGCAATTCGTATTACAATTTGACAACCTTTTAGCCCATTGCTCTGTCCCCCCCCATCCGCCCCGCACACTCCCGCAGGCGCGAGCGAGGGGAGGGAGACGAAGCGGCACCAACCATCGCAAACCTCTCCGTCTCCCTGTTCTCTACTTTTTCTTCTCCTCTCCCCTCAGAAATCCCTCTCCTGACCCGTCCAGGGGCGCTTCTGACCAGAACTTCCAAGCGGATCCAGCTGAGCAGAAACACCCCAACACCTCGATCCACCGTCTCCTTCTCCTCGTCCTGCTCCTCCTTCTCCTCCTCCTCTTCCTCTTCATCCTCCACCACCCTCGTCCTTCTCCTTCTCCTCATCCTGCCATTCCTTCTTCCTCCTCCCGCTCGGTCGGCCACGGACCCTTCCCCACAAACAGAGATAACGACAGAAACCTCCTTCCTCGATCCTGGATCATCCTCCCTTCCCTCCTTCCTCCTCCCCTCTCTCCCCTCCCGCTTCCCTCCTCCCTCCTTCCTCCTCCGTGCGCAGCCAGTGCTGCCTCTTGCCCCATGCGTGCGCCCCTGACGCTCGGAGCTTGCCTGCAGGCAGCGTGGCGGCTCAACGCGCCCCCCCGTGCCTTCGGAGTGCCGCGAGCTCCTGCCGAGAGCAGGACGCGCCGGCGTGCGCGACGGCTCTCGCGGGGTCTCGCGCGCGATCGCGACGTGGTGCGCGGGCCACGCGAGGAAACCGAAGAGCTCTCCAGCTGTGACCGCCCGGCTCTGAAGCACGTCGGACGATTTCTACATTCGAGCCTCGGCGGCTACGGATGGCGCAACACACACACACACATACACGTCGTTCATTTCTACTCGTGCTCGTTTCTAATTGTGCTCGTTTCTAATTGTTCCTGCTCCCAGTGGCCAGGAAGAGGCCCAGGATAGAACAACTGGAAATGAAAGGATCTCGGCCCCCCAGAAAATGAAAGAACTTTTGAACACTTTGCCACGATCAATGTGCACATGCATGAAGGCCTGCAGCCAGTCATGCGGCAGTGTGTGTCGCAATCGTGCGCTGCGTGGCGGCTTCATCGGACCCCACTCACTCTGGGGTTGCCAGCCTTGCGGCTCACGTCCAACTCTGCGTGCAAACTACGGTGCCGCTGGGGGGATATGCTCCGAGAAGTGTCGTGCAGCGGGCAACATCTTTTGGCGGTGGTGATGGCGCTCTTGCTCTTCGGGGTACTGGAGCGGGTCGCAACCAACGCCCTCCTACGATCGGCAGAAAGCCAGAGGCCAAGCTGGAGCAGCAGCTGGGCAGCCCTACGAAAGCAAATGGATGCCTTCCTGGCGAACCCCCCGCAGATCCCAACCTGTCCCTGGCCAGCAATGAAGACGTGGACCTTTAGAACAAACCGCTAGATATTCTTTGCGTGCGCAGGCGTCGGACTTGTCAGCCGCGGCTCGTGCATGCAAGGGGGATGGTATGGCGGATGCGGATATTCTCAGTCAGGTCGCGACAAACATATACAGCATTACCCAGCACACCAGCGTTGGCCTTCGGCCAGCAATGGCGACGGCGAAACTCACGAAGCTGGCTGGGGAGCTGCAGGAGCAGGACCTGAGCAAGAGAAGCTCGTTGCAGATGTCCAGGCCCAGCGGGCCGATATCAAGAACATGACTTACCCTGGTTTTTAGCGGGGTATGGCTCCCTCTCTCTACTAAACCCGCTGGTCGCATTGACTCGGATCCGAGACGGCGGCGGCGAGAATCTCGCCTCGCCGCCGCTCAAAATCACACACCGGACAGAAGAGGGCTGGGCGAGCCCGAAGTGGCTCGAGAGGGGAGGGGCGCCAGGATGACTACAGAGTGACGCGATTAGGATCGATGAGACCGACGCCCGAAACCCCGCTGGCCAACTGCCTCTTCCTGGAAGGCGGGGCAGTCGGTCGGGGCCGCCGCGGAGTGCGCGGAGACCAAGGTCCGAACCTTCGCATCTCGTCTCTTTCGCGGCGGACTGGGTTCTTTCCCGGTAAACTGGGTTCTTTCCCAGCGCGGTGCCGGGAAAGAGTCCAGTTTGGTATGCATTTTGCGGGGAAGTCTCGCGCGTCGGTTTTCGAAGGTGCCGCTGGCACCTTAATGGTTGGCACCTTAGTTTCGCGGGGGGCACGCCGGGGAAGAGTGTAGATGTGAACAAACTACTACTACTACTACTACTACTACTACTACTACTACTACTACTACTACTACTACTACTACTACTACTACTACTACTACTACTACTAGTACTACTACCGCCACTACTACTATTACTACTACTACTACAACAACAACTACTACAACAACAACAACTACTACTACTACTACTACTAGTACTACTACTACGCCTACTACTGCGACTACGACTACTACTACTACTACTACTTCGACCTCTACTATTACTACTAGGACTACTAC